TTCACTGCACCTAAAATAAAAAGTGCCACAGCATGAATTGGAATAAAGACTAACGTCACAGAGCTGGATGATGGCCACCAGGATCTCACTGAACGTATGCCTGAGATTGGCGTATACATACATTATACATTTAAGAACACAAGAAGATAAGAAGAGCCAATGTTGGATCAGGCCAATGGCCCATCCAGTCGAACACTCTGTGTCACACAGTGGCCAAAAACACCAGGGGCCATCAGGAGGTCCACCAGTAGGGTCAGGACACTAGAAGCCCTTCCACTGTTGACCCACCCAAGCACCAAGAACACAGAGCATCCCTTGCCCCAGACTGAGAGTTCCTATCTGTACCCCGTGGCTAGTAGCCACTGATGGACCTCTGCTCCATATGCTTATCCAATTCCCTCTCGAAGCCGTCCATGCTTGTAGCTGCTACCACCTCCTGTGGCAGTGAATTCCATGTGTTAATCACTCTTTGGGTAAAGGACTTCCTTTTATCCGTTCTAACCCGACCGCTCAGTTTGCCTATGTAAATACTGTCGCCTTGCCTGGCATGCTGTTTTGAGATCCTAATTTTTCACTTCTGGTTTGAGGGAGGGCATTCAGTGACACACTGCATGCGTATTTGATGAGCAGCAGTAGACTAAAGGTTAAGAACAAGTCTAGCTCATCAGATAAGCAGCAGGCTGAGGAATCTTCCTCTACTGCAAGGTGGGAATGACGTCATGCAGGATAATGAGTAATTGTCAGAACTCTTAGAACAGCAGGCCCCAGTTTGAAATAGTAGAACTGTGGCTGCACAGTGTGATGTAACATGCGCTTATACCCTGTAAGCATGGAAAGATAAAGAATAATGGTTAATGCAGAGGTAATCATAAGGGGGGGAAAGGATCCTCTTGGAATCCTTCACTCTGCCCAGATTAAAATTTGAGTCCAGTGGCACCTATAAGACCAACAAAGCTTTATTTAAGGTATAAGCTTTCGTGTGCAAGCAAACTTCTTCAGATACATGGAAGCGTACGCCTTGAATACAACTTTGTTGGTCTTAAAGGTGCCACTGGACTCAAATTTTGTCCTGTTGCTTCAGACCAACATGGCTACCCACCAGGGCTGCCAAGCCGCGGTGGGGGATCCACATGTCTTCACAGGATCCCTGCCACGGGGGACAGCGATATGCGTTGCACCGCCGACGCCAGGATGTGACGCTACGTGTCGCTCTGGCAACGGGACTCCAAACAGCCCCATTGCCAGAGCAACGCGTAGCGTCACATCCTGGTGACGGCGGTGCAACATGTATCGCTGTCCCCCGCGGCAGGGATCCTGTGAAGACATACAGATCCCCCATCGCGGTTTGGCAGCCCTGCTACCCACCAATGCTCCCTCTAAGAAGAGAAGAAGAAGAAGAAGAGATTGGATTTATACCCCACCCTTCACTTGGAGTCTCAGAGCGGCTTACAATCTCCTTTCCCTTCCCCTCCCCACAACAGACACCCTGTGAGGTGGGTGGGGCTGAGAGAGCTCTTGGCAGAAACTGCTCCTTCAGCACATTCAGGAAATATGCTTCAATTAACAGGAAAACAATTAGACCAAATAGTTAATCAAAAATTGACAACTTTCTTCTTCTTCATCTTCTCCTTGAACCTATTCTGAACATATTCAGGAAATACATGATATTTTATACATGGACTGACATCATCAAGAAAACAATATTCAAACAGCATAATTGGTTACAAAAGACAGTTGGAAGTTGAGTAATAATCCTCTGCTTGGCCAGATATAAAGAAACATGTATCTGTGGAGTCTCGTGAGCAAAAATTCCACTTTGTGAGCTGCTGGCATTAAAGTTGGGAGAGAGCGATTTGGCGACTGCATCAATCAGTTTGCGCTGGAGTCCATCCTTCCTGAGCTAAGAGAAGAAAGTGTGAGCCGGAGGCTAAAAAACCGTGAGCTAGCTCACGCCAGCTTAGAGGGAACACTGCTACCCACCTGAATCGGTCTGCCCAGATTGTATCTTTGACTGGCTAAGAAAGCGTTGCCATAGTTTTTGGCCTTCTTCTGTGGTTGTCCGCATGAGAACCTAAGAAGAGCCCTGCTGGATCAGACCACATCTCACACATGTCTCACCTCCTCTGGAGGTCCAACAACAGGGCACAGAGGCCGAAGCCTTCCCTTGACATGGTCTCCTGACGCTGGGATTCACGAGTGTGACTACCTCTGAATTGGAAGGCTCCCTCTCTCCTATGGACCTGGCTTTCTACTCACAGGTCTAAAAGAAAGAGTGCTCTCTCTCTCGGTCTTTAAAAAAATCCTATTGTTGATGGCTGAAAGTCTGTGGACAATGCCTAGCAAAGTCTCAGAAGGTATAGGAAAAAGATTTCAGCAGGTGTGGGTGGAGCGTAATGTTTTTTAAAACTCCTTGTGACTTGTAACTTACAGGAACCTCAATTTATACAAAAAACTTAAGTACAGGGAAAGTGAGCCAATCAAGAGATGAATACTTTGCATAGATCACGAGCAGTGTTCCCTCTAAGCTGAGTTAGTGTGAGCTAGCTCACAGTTTAATAGCCTCCGGCTTACACATTGTTTGTCTTAGCTCAGGAAGGACGGCTCCAGAGCAAGCTAATTCATGCTCACAACTTTAACGTCGATAGCTCACAAAGTAGAATTTTTGCTCACAAGACTCCACAGCTTAGAGGGAACACTGATCACGAGTTCAGTTTTTCTTGCCACAGAAATATTTCAGCACACAGTACACAAAGCCTCGAGGGCAGCCGGAACACTCCTAGAACTCATTATGGTGTTTATTCAGGGAAAAGAGCACAGGAAGGAGAACAGGGAAACCTGCATCCTCCTGAATCAGCAGACTGGCTCAGGGGGTACTCGACGGAAATGCAAACCTCCTCCTTAGGATGGCTAAGGGGGAAGCAGTCACAGGTTTGGCAGGAGGCAAGTAAAAGCAGGTAGGGGAATGGCGTAAGAAAGCGCCTGGTTGACCTTTGGCCAGATTGGAGGAAGTAATGTTGGTCCCGCACCCAAAGACAACCAGGCGCAGACAGGGAAGGGAAGGGCTGAGATACAAGGAGAGGCGCTCAGTTCCAGCTCCACCCCTACCTGGCAGGTGTGGATTCTTGCTGTGAGTAAGCAGGCATTGCAGGACGGTGGATGCGGGCCCGCCGGGAAGTATCATATGGTAATGAGCGGCTGCTCATCACCTTTGCCAGATACTCAGGTGTGTGCGTAAGCAAAATCTGAATGGAATGCACCATGATTACTATATATAGCTAGAAGAAACAAAGTCAGGGTAGGCAGATTACGGCATTGGGAGTGGGACAGTGGAACGGTGTGACAAGGAAAAGATGAAACAAGAAAGGATCGTACTAGAACAGGGCTAGAACCCATCACGCTGGCGGCGGCGGCGGCGGGGGTGTGTGTGTGGTCGGAAGAGTCAAACATGAACGTAGGCAAAGGGAGGCATTTGGGGTGTGGGCCGCAAAGGAAGACTGAGAGAAAGAAGCTGTTCAAGCTTGCAGCAGGTCTTCAGCGTCCTTTCTAACTCCCCCCCCTCCCTCATCCGTGTGCGGCCAGGGCCATGCCTGAGACTGCCACCCCATGCAAATCTCCGTAGAACTCAACAGGGAATCACTTCCAAGTGAAAGAGAAACAGTGCGGTGTACAGGTTAAAGTGTCAGACTAGGATCTGGGAGACCTGGGTTCAAATCCTCACTCGTGCCCTGGAAGCTCGCTGGCTGATCTTGGGCCAGTCACACACCCTGTCAGCCTAACCGACCTCACAGCGTTGTTGTTGAGGGGATACAAGGGAGGAGAAGAGCATAAGCAGCTTTGGGTCCCATTCGGGGAGAAAGATGAGGAACAGATGAACAGAATAAAAAATGCACAAAAGGATTGGGCTGCTGGCTACATTCATCCCATCCACCCTATTATTATCATTCATTTATATAGCAGCAGAGTCTCAGAGCAGTGGCTTACTATCTCCTTCCCCTTCCCCTCCCCACAGCAGACACCCTGTGAGATAGGTGGGGCTGAGAGAGCTCTCTCGAGGACTGCCCTTGAGAGAACAGCTCCAAGAGAACTTGTGACTGACCCAAGGTCACACCAGCAGCTGCATGTGGAGGAGTGGGGAATCAAACCCAGTTCTCCCAGATTAGACTTCACGCTCCCAACCACTACACCAAACTACCTTCCTCCCCAATGGAGACCCCAAGCAATGCTCCCTCTAAGCTGTGGAGTCTCGTGAGCAAAAAATTCTACTTTGTGAAGCTACTGGCATTAAAAGTTGTGAGTGAGTGATCTGGCTGCTGCATAGATTAGTTTGCTCTGGAGCTATCCTGCCTGAGCCAAGGCAAAAATCTGTGCGCTGGGGACTAAAAAACAGTGAGCTAACTCACACTCACTCAGCCTAGAGGGAACACTGACCCCCAAGCGGCTTCTCCTCTCCTCCCCTGTTAACCACATCATTTGCTGTTGAGGCCGGTTGTTGTTTAATGCAGTTGTTTTGCCGATGCTAGAATGATGATTATTTCTGGATTTTGTATTGTTTTATTAGGCATTTATGCCCTTGTTAGCTGCCCGGAGCCTTCAGGGAGGGCGGGATACAAATCTAAAGAATGAATGAATGAATAAATTGAGTATCTTAGTATGTTTTTAACACTGTAAGCCTGCATTAACTGCAGATACATACATGCCGTCACCCACTCTGAGCCTACAAGGTGGGGAGGGCGGGCTATAAATCTAATGAAATAAATAAATAAACAAACCTCACACAACAAGCCTGCAAGGTAGGCTAGGCGGATAGAGAGGGAAGCCTTGGACTGGCCCAAGGGCGGGCGCCCAGCGGCTTCCTCTGGATCCCAACCTGGGTCATGTCCCCCACCCCACCCGATCCTGTAGTCCGACACCCTGAAGCTGTCTAACGCCGGCTTCCTCGGGAGTAAGACGCACGGGCGCCACGCACTCCCGGGTCCTGCCGGGGAAGGCGAAGTACTTACGGTTCCAGTAGACGGGGTAGCACTCGGCGTTGGCGACGTCCACCTCGTAGAGGCCCCCGCGGACGCAGACGGGCTCGGGGCCGGGGCGCTCGGGGCTGGTGGCGGCGGCCGTCGCGGGCGGGCTGGGGGTGCGCGGAGGCGG